CCACTTCATATCCTGTTGTCAGCCAATCATATTTAGGCACCGGGGGGGGGGCGGGGGCTACTTGATATTTGAATGCACAGATCGCTTGCGGGCTACCCGGCGCTTACATAGCTTACGGATAGCAGAAGAACCCCCTAGCAAGAGATACTTGCGAAGTAAACTGACTCTCGAGTCTGGTAGATTAGCATTTTCCGTGGTCTGCTGATCGTTTCTGAAAATTGGAATGACAAGAGTGTCATGGTTGAATCTTAAAACAATTACCTCAGTGACCGCTTTTGACTGGGTTCGCGATAAAACAATGATGTTTAGCTTCACTGTACGGAGCTAGCGGTTACTGTTACCACCTATTTCTAGCATCCTCTAAAACATCTGATTCGGTATTCAAACGGTTGTGCTATGTACGTATCTACATCTACAACTTCTACATCCGCTCGAAGTTTTGTTCTAGCATATCGAAATGTTCAAAACCTATCGGCCTGAAGGTTTACCTCTAATTCACCCGAAAATATCCCATGAAGGCACCTTGACGTTACAAAATCACACTGACCTAACGTAGCTGAGGTCGCGAGCACAAAACCGGTTTTATTTTACAACCCAGGTCAAAGAAAGAGACAGTAACAAGTAGCCATACGCAAGAATCTGCTGCTTTACAGTTGTCTGACCAAATAGTTCGAGTTCGGTCCCTCGGTGAGGGTTCTCTCAGCCAATTCCGGTAGATGCTGTCAAAGTTGGGTAGAGCTGACTCCAGGACCTAAACTGAAGTGATGCTTTCATGAAGCAGGTTAGGAACGTCGGCGACACTCGAAACGTCCGCTAAATTATTGATCACATTTGGTGGCAGTTCCACTGTATCTGGTGACTGTTCGTCATCTGAATGGCAGCTTTGCTGTTTACAATTTGGCCAAGATCGAACTCTGACGTGAACACTTCGAGCACCTCCTCAATGTCAGAAACCAACCCACCACCCTTTTCACACTTGTAGGAATTAATATCCGTTTCCAGTCTGTGTAGTGTCGTATGCCTCGCCTTCCTCACTAACAATAGTCAGTGCAATGTCGAGACTAACTATGGCATCTCGCCATGGTCATCTGGTTTCTTGACTTGGCCGTGTCTT